AATCCAAAATTTACAAGGCTCGTGTTTTGTAATAAAACAGTGAGTAGAAATAAATTTAGAAGGAAGATTTATTTAGAGATTGATAAGAAAATCATCGTTACACGGAATAAATCATCGTTATTTTCGCGATGGATTTCTTTATGCGAAAATAGTGTACTGCAATAAAGACTTATTGTTTGCGAATGGACATCGTCTACCGGAGCTTTTACGGAGTTTTCACTGGATTGACACTGTCGTTCGTCTAAATAAAGAAACAAAGGTATTTCATCAAGTCTGATTGTCCCGTTGATACAGTCGTTCAGCGATAAAAGATTTTAATCACGACTGACGGTTTAGCTGGTGCCGAATCAATCGTAAAATATTCCTTTTTCGTTTCAATGACAGTTCGTTATTTATTATTTTCACTTTTGCGAAATGCGTTTCATTTAAACGTTTTCATTAAATGTAAACACTATTTTGATTTTTATTCGAATAGGAAGGGATTAATTAATATAATTTACGAATATAGATATATATGAATATGTTTTTCCTCGTGTATGTAGATTAATATTCAAAATGATACCGATTTTAATTACGTTTCTGTAATTTTCTATATCTTCTATCTGTAATTTAAATTTTAATATTTTCTCCGTTTCGTGAGAATTATTTAGTATTATAATTCAGAGAGATTTATTAGCCAAATCTGTGTACCATAACAGATGAAAGATTGAGTAACGTAATTAGTAACTGATCACGGTAATGGTTACAGCGTCAATACGTGTCATTAAAATTTTACAATTTTAATTTGGCGATATTTAAAATCGAAGAACGATGTTATTATTAATTTACATATTTAATCTATTAATTACTTATTTTTTAATCAGAGATTCTTTAAATTCTACATTAAAATTGAGGTTCATTCGTATATTAATCATAATAATTTTAGCTCTTCTAAATGTAAGTGTAATATGATGTTTAAAGAAAATTATATGAAAGAAATTGTTGAAAAAATAAATTATGACCGAAATGGCGATAATTATTCTTTCTCCCCAGGTAACAGGTTAACAACATCGCCATGTCGATTTTGCATCTCTGTCAAGCGTTAAAAGTCATAACTTCACATTTCTTTGTGACCTACATGCGATTCTCGAAATCTCGACAGCAACGAGCAATAAATAACACAGTAAAAAGTGTGAATTTTATTCTTCATGTACAGAACTAGTTTTCCGTCACTTTTTAACATATCGAGTTTTATGTGCATCAGAAGAACTAGTCAAGAATTCCATATAAATTTACTTCCTCTTTCTTCAATAATAATAATTTTAAATAATTTTTAAAGATTTTAACACCTATTAATGTTTTCCAATCAATTCATATCTACCCCTTTTTCCAATAATTCCATTTAATTTTATTATAGTTCTTAGCTCATCTTCAATTCAATCACGTTTTGTTTTGTTTTCTTAATTCTCGATACAAATCTTTAAATTACCTTCTCATTTAATAGTATCATTACTTTCTTTGTATTTGGTAATTTTATAAAAGAATATAAGAATTTTATCCTTCTTCTGACTAAATACTAAATATTAATTTTCACACGAAGAACAAAATTTTTAAAAGATTGAACTTCCATTTTCTTCTTTTTAAATTTTTAATGAAAGTCTCTGCATCTTAGTTCTTCGGTTGACTCGATAATATCTCTAAATATTAGTTCCACGTAAACAGCAAATGTTTTAAAATATTCATGGCACTGTCAAAAAAATCATGTAATAACTTGCGATATAAGGAATGTTGTCCCAAGAGCAATGAAGCTTATTATAAAGAGTTGTTAAAAACCCGTTACAATTTCTCCAGAATGTGACATTAAATCTTCTCGTAATCCTTGACGTTCATGGGATCATATTTAAAAATAATTGCAGCCATCGGGCAGCTGCCGATCGCCATGTTACATCAACTTGTGCACAGGAAGGAGTCATCGTGAGTTGCGTTGACGTAACTCGATCATGAAGGTTTATCTTTCGGCTGTAAGAATGGATGGTCTCGTGAACGTGAAAATAGAAGATCTAGCTGGGTGGGACGAATGATCCCGTTATAGAATTCTGATTAAAACAGGCGGAAAAGAGGAGGCTTGTTCCTTTATCAGCTCGAACGCGTCACGTCCGCTTTTAGGTGACTGCCTGTTCTTCTCACATAATTTAACGAACAATTGTTTAGCGCGGTGATAATTTGTATCCCGTTTATATTAAACTCGTTTCATTTATAAAAATCGTGGAATTTTTAATTGCAGAATTGTAAAAATTATGTTCATAGCGAAGATCATAGAATTATAGATTTAGATTAGGTTGGAATATTATTATAGAGTTATGAGTGTGCACAGAAACTTGGAATTAATTAAACAAATTTTATTAGCCATTAAAATTGAAATTAATATCGTATTTTAACATACTGATAGATTTAGACACGATGGCTACTATTAAGTTATTATGATAGTGTTTAAAATTGGAAATCTGTATGTATAATAATTGCAATTCAAATTAGAGAGTTACAAATAGATATATAAACTTGGATAAAAATTTGGAATTAATTCGAAAATGGTACTGCCCATTAGAATTATTAATGAAGACATGTTTTGACATACTGATAAATATAGATATGTTGGCTATCATTAAGTTATTATGATAGTGTTTAAAATTGGAAATCTGTATGTATAATAATTACAATTCAAATTAGAGAGTTACAAAAATATATATAGACTTGGATAAAAATTTGGAATTAATTCGAAAATTGTATTGCCCATTAGCATTGTTAATGTTAAAACTAGGTTGATGCACTGTAGTTTGTGATATTGATGGGTTCAAATACAATTGTGGTAATTAAGTTATTATGATAGTGTTTGAAGATTATTAGGTGTCAAGAAAGTTGCAGTTTTAATCATAGAATTATAGGAATTATAGTTATAGGGGCAAACATAGTTCAGATCGTGGAATTACATAACGGTATAGGATCGTGCAGATTACTGGAAACAATTTAAAAAATTTGATTGGCAATTAAGTTTGATACTCTTATAATCAGGTTTAGAACTGAAGTATACTGTGCTTTGAGATAACGATAAGTTCAAATATGGTTATGACAACTGTGTTGTTACGAGAATTTCTGTGACACAAATGTAAGAAAGATTCTATATTTAATCGTAGAATTATAGGAATTATTTTATTTATCGACAAATAACATTATAATAACTTAATTTAATTTAATTAATCTTCAACAAACATAAATTTAAACTGATTATTGCACAACACGTTCTACGAATGTTAATATTAATGCTAACAGTTTCTATTTTTTAATTTTATTTATAAAGTATCTATCTCTTTATACTTCCTAGCTTAACCTTTAATTTAAATTAGTCTCCTTATCTACTATAAACAAATAGGCCTTTAATTAAATTTTCTTACTAACGAGAATAAATACGAGAAGGTCGCGAATCCCTAATCAAAGGAAAAATAAAAATCGAGGAAATAAAGTAGCGAAGCAGATTATCACTTTGTTTTCTTTCATAAGCCATGAATATCACAAGTGACCTTTCGCGCAGTAGCGTACATCATATCTCCTTCCAGTAATATTAGTATTCCAGTTTCGTTCTGAATCTCTCTTATTAATGACTCACTGGCATTAATATACGCGTTACTGTTGTCATCTACTTGACATTCCGGAACACGCGTCACGAATCGCAAAGTACCACTAATAAATCCGATACCTGATCAATAATAAACATGCACGAGACGACCAACTACCATCGACCAACCAAAAAATCAAATAATTCCTCTCTACACCATTTGCCTCATTATCGCACTCATTCATGCAATTTTCCCGGTGGTTATCAGCAAAGCGTACATATACCCACATTCACACCCTGAATGCATAGTGATGACCGCAAACAGATTAATTCTCCGTTCCTTTTCCCTTCCACTGCAGAGCACAATTTCCTACAACCAAGTAATCGCCGCGTGACAGGAATATTACGCTTTCAGTGCCATCTGCAACATACGTAAATCCAATTTAACGCAAAACAAAAATTAGTCACGGGATATATTGTTCATTAATTTCCTCGATACAAATTCAGAAACCTATTCCACGGCGAACGCAGTTATAGGAAAAAATGAGAGACGGATAGAAAAAGGAGGAAAATAAATAACGAAGAAACAAAGTGGAGCAACTGGACTTCCAACAGACTCAATTAGCGTACCGGGAGCCGTGTGCTCGGTAAACACCGCGAGCAAGTGTATCGATAGCATCGATTCGGAATCGTTCCGGCACGCCTGGTTGGTCGGCGAGACTCGCGAGGTGGCCGGGAAACCGGCGTAGCCGAACGGCGCGGGATGCAGACGAGAACGGTGGGAAGAGGGCGAGAAAAAAATGGAAGGAGGCACGAAAACGTCTGGTGCAATTTCGTCGCGGTGGCGGGCTGACTAAAACGGATTTAGCCGGCGGCCGCAAGATGGCGACGCATTGCCCGGCGCCGGGCGTCGTGCCGATGGCAGTCGCAAGGACGACGCCGTCGCCGCCACGTGGGGAGCGAATTTGAATCGGCCGCCACCGGCTGGTAGCTCGCCGTCGGTTTATAGCCACGCAGAGTAGCGTGGAGTTCGTTGGGTCTGGACCACTGACCACCTGAACCGGTCGTCGTTTCATCCCCGTCCGTTTGTCGGCACGCTTGTCAGCTGGTGCTTTGGTCGGCGTGCACGGACTTAACGAAGTCGTGGATGGAAAAGGTGGAAACGGTAGCACGGGACTAGATCATTATTCGTTATTGTCAAGGCGGGAGCGTGGACGGTTAGAGAAAGAGGGGCAGGCGGGTGGTCGGAGAGAGGAGAGGGGGGGTAGAGGGACTAGATCAGCGTGACGACGTCTAGTACGACGTTGTGCCGGCAGCCGCGGAGTAGGAGGAGGTTAGGAGGGAGAAAAATCGAGAAGGAAGCGGCAAGTGTCACGAAGGGACTGTTGTCAGTGAGTGGTGGACCGTGGAGTCGATTGGGTTGTCAGCGGTACGACGTTGCAGAGTGGTCGAACGCGATTGGTCCTCGCGGCGTGATTGTCGAGAGTGAAACGGGGAAAACGGTTCGATACCGGAACGTGTGCTGGAGGATCGCAGGGAGATCTTCGGTGCCGATCTGAGCCGGAAGTGCGTTGACCTTGCTCTCAGGGGCGACCTTGGAAATTGGCGCCACCGTCGGCCACTTGCACAGCGGCTATCGAGCTGAAATCGAGTGTACCCCGACCTCGTTGCATTGAACTTCAACTTCCGCTTTCGATCGGTTGATTCGAGCGGCACGAAGCCGAAGGTCTAGCCGACCCGGTGTCGCGGTGTGTGTATCCCGTGAGGTATCAGCGACCTCTTTGTATTGGGAGATCAAGTCGGTGGAAAGGCGAGAGCAGCGGCTGCGTTTTCGAGGGAGAGACCCACGGGGGCGAGATTAACCACCTGTCAAGTCAGATGGAATGACTCAACATGCGGCCTAGGTAAGTGGAGCGTTCACGAATTACTCTTGCCGTGGGATTTATCATCTGGAACAGTGTGGCTTTGGTGTTTGCTTCTCTCGCTCTTTCTTTCTCAACATTTTCCCCTATTTTGCGTTCTTCCATTTTCTGCGCTGTTCGAATAGTTTTCATTTCCTCGCGAGCATTGCTTTTCATCGACACTTCTCCTGGCAACATCCATGTCTAATTTGTAACACAAATTATGGTACAAAGTACATGAATGACAGATTTATTTATTTAGTGGAACGAATATCACTGTTAACCATTCTCGTTACCTTTGTTTTATCCATATATTCCGAATTAACATCCGAGTAGAATTTAAAATACATACGCTCAACTACTCCGCTATAAATATTTAAATACCCACCAAGAAATATCTGCCATTATTTCATCAATCTTCAAATACTTTTCTCACAGTCAAACTAAAAGAATCCATACTCCGTATCAAGCCACGATCCCCATGACTCTCAACATCTACTCTGAGTAACGAAAATTTTATTCAAAAGCTACATTTTAAAAAAATTTCCTATTTTTCACGAAAAATCGTGTATATATGACCTACCACGCATTCCTGTGAGCACACGAAACCTGCAATTAAAGTTTTAACGACTTTCCTCTTTCCTAAACAAAATCTCACACGTAGAAATTTTTAGCACGGAACAATAGAGCATCAAGAATGAAACGTTTATACTACAGAAAATGTACATTACCCTATTTACAATTTCCAACAAGTGTCTCTCGTCAACCCTCCATTAGAATTCAACGAAACGAAGAAAATTTCCTACAGAGCACCAGGAATGTTACTCTTCTTCCAAAACACAAATGTCACCCAATTTCCAGTTTCCAACAAGTGTGTCCTATCGAACCTCCGCCAAAGGCCAACGGGAGGACACGAATCAAAGAGACTGTCAGGATTAGGGGTCGAACGAAAGCGAACGAGCCACAGGTAGGCTTTGCTAGCCGAGAGGTCAGCCACTTGGCTGATTCCGCGGTTTCTCACCTAGTCGAGTTTTCAGCCACCCTGGAGGGTGAACGCGAGGACTCGGAGCCTAGTGGTTTTCTCGTGGCGCGGTTAGGGTAACGCGTGTTGCAATCGGCCGCGATGGTAACGAGCTTTTGGACGCTGAGAAATCGACGGTCGTTCGTTCTCCGGGAAGTCACCGACGTAACTCGGTCTTTATTTACACACCGCCATGAATGGAACAAACGAAACGCTTTCTTCTGGTCGTTGACCCCGAAATCGCATCCTGTCCTACCTGGTGTTTGCTCCCGTTGTCGCGTGTCATTGATTACCTTGTTGCCTCGTGATTCTCTGTTATGTTTGCCGTCTTGTCTCGCGGATGCTCGAGTGACATTGTAAGGCTGAAAATTTTCCCTTGGCTGCTCTTGATCGACGAACGTTAGGTGCTTTGATCGATGCTTACGAGGCATGGTTTAGGTATACGTGGTTCTGCTGTTTGTATATGGTATGTGCGAGTAGCAGCTATGTGAGTTCTTTCGTTTTATGGTTTATCTACTTGCTTCTGGGATCCTGTTTAAGGGGATCTTTGTCTTGATGGTAAGAGATTGTTGTTAGGTGTTAGTGTGAAGATACTACTGTTAATTGTATTATTTCTTTTTAGAAAATTGTGGGATGTCAGTTATTTTTTATTACTTTAGTTATATTTAATTATTGGAAGGTTGATACGATGGGATTTTTGTACAAAATTTATTTTTATATCCGAGTAATTTATTTCTAGGTATTGGTGTAGAGGAATTGTAGTCAATTACCATAATTCTTTCCACGAGCAAACGAAATTTTAATTACCAGAGGCTTTTACGATTAAAATACTATTTTATGTGATGGAATTTTATGTGAGTTATTATAAAATTTTTTTTAATTTTCAAAGTATTACTTGTACTATAAATAAGTAAATATTCAAAAACCATACTTTACTTTACAAACGAGTATTTTAAATTCACGATATAATATAGTCAAATAACAACTGGATATATGACTACATACGAGTAATTAAGCTCCAAAGTAATAAATTTTGGAATCTAATAATAGCAACTTTATTCCTTCGGATGTTAATTAAAATGTACACACGAAATTGTACGATCTGAAATGTAATTTGAAATTTTGAATCTCCCCGTGCACAGAAAAGTTAGCACGTATCTGTTTTCTTTTACAACAGTTTTTGAATTTATAACAAGTATGGAAAAGAAGAAATATCCTTTCATTTTTCTCTTATCGATTATGCAAGCTATTAAATATTCAGTCGCACTTCTAGATAACCGGATTTCCTCCTGGAACACCCATTCTCCGTCTAAAATCTCTCTACGTTCACGTATCGTCCCAACGGAAATTCAGTCGTCTATAATAATCGGGCCGGTACGTTTCCACGAACGACCTAGCCTGGATCCCATAAAGCATACCTGAGTTTCGCGTTTCCTTGACTCTTTCACATCCATTTAACATTAATTTTACATCGAGCTAGTGCACGATTGTAAAAAATGGAAAAATATTTTTAAAGCGATATTTCAAAAAATTATTCTTTCATAAAGTAATATTTATAATATTAAGAAAAGTATTTTTATAAAGTAATACCTTTAAGCTAATGTTTATAAAAATAATATTTTTATGAAATATTTGTAAGAACGATATTTATGGGAATAATGTTTTTAGCGAGGTATATGACAGAAATAATTGTCACAGTATTACGAAATGACGATTTGTCATTAATAAAATATTTATGACAATATGTATATTAATCAGAAGAACACAAGAAGATTAATTAATCGTATAGTCCAGACGAATAATTTATAACACAGCTAACTTATGCAAGAATTAAAACTACCTATGAGTAATATTATATTAATTTCCCTTCGGACTTGTAAAGTTCCGTTTCACCATACGATAATTATTTTAACACTTACTAGTCTTATAAACAGCCTTAACCTATTCTTACCCTCACTCTTAACGTTATCTATTTTCTCGTCATTTCTGCACCACGTCACTCACCCTCTTGTTCTCATAATAATTCATTCCATTACTAAATATTACAAAATCAGGTCTTCTTCGAATGTTTAAACATTTATTTCGAGCTTTTACCAGGTGCTGTATAGTTACTGCGCTTTTATTTGATCAATTTTTCCTAATTACCTAATTATTTAATTTATCAATTTATTTTCTAAATGGTGTAAAGCGAGATAGGTATTAATCACGTTTCCTTGATAATTGGTACTACCTTATTTTAATAATCCTCATTCAATGCAGTCGACTTTTCGTTGGGAATAAAATAAGAATGAATGTGGGCTGTGTTCTTAAACGAGATCACGATATTCGTGTTTTCCATTCGTGACATTTATTTACTATTCTCTGCCTTCGCGAGGGATCTTTTATTAATAGTAAATACGGTGAAACGGTTATTAAAAGCCATTCGATTCCTCTGATTTAATCATACATCCTACTTTGAATCTGATCGACCTCGATGTAAAATACATCGTGCAGAAGGTGGATCAAGTTAAAGGTTCACCTAAATGTATTATTCCAGAGGTAGTTGGGTATTTGTCGAGCTACATCAGCTACATTTTGAAGGTACATGTAATTAATGATAGATTAACATACAACCTGATGATCAGTTCACAACTAGGAATTTCTATTAACATATAACGTGATTTCTAAGTTCTATTAAAGAAAACATCCAAAAATTCTTCAAACGACACTACGAATATTCTCAAATTTCGAGAACGCAAACTTGCAAATAAAACGAAGGCTTTTAGCTAGAAGAAAGTACACAAATCGGAAATTACACCATAGCCAATTCAATATTGCACTTAAAGGGAAAGAAAAACGAAGAAAGAATAGCAAGTCCATTCACTCCAACTCACACAAACTTCTTAGAACCCACTTAAACCTTCATCCACCAACTTTCTCATTAAAATCTCACCGAAAACTACCTTCGAAAGAGCACCTGACACATCGAGCCTTGTCCAAACCTTACCCAGGAACCAAAGGTAACATAGCAGTGCATCAAGCATCGTACAAGCAGCCAGCCTCGCATTACACGTTGTCTCCAGCATACCTCTTAGCGTCCATGCATGCACCTTGCTAATAGAAGCTAGCAGCCGAGGCAAGAAAAAGAACAGCCCCTATCCAGGAAACCAAAATATACGTAAGAAAATAATCTAAGAATAATTGGATGTACTCGAAGCAAACAATTTGTACATATACTCAGTGTATACGCACTGGTTGCTGAAACAAAAAGGACCACAGGGTCTGTTTAGACAGGAAGCTCTGATAGAGACCTAGATACCACTATGAAGAACGATTGTGAGAACTAATACCACTGGTCACATTCCAAAATTTCATAAAATAATACAAAAAGGATAAGTACAAAGCAGCAATCAGTAGCAAAAGGTATACATCAAAGAAAGCAAACAACCATTACTTAGGAAGCAAAACATGCGTTGAAGTATAATCGGGGAATTCTAGAAGGGACTTGAAGGAAATAGTTTGGTTTAGGCCTGAAACTCTGACAGAAACCAAGATGGCGCTACTTATATTCTTAAAAAGCTAACATTATTTATATAAAATAGATGTCGCGACTATTTTCAATCGTGATATTCCAAAATTCTCTTGACACCCCTCGAAAAGAAGGAAGAAAGAAAATTCGCAGAAAAGCGGGGGAAAATCAGCCACCGAAAGCCAAACCAAAAGTACCTAGGAAACCAAAAAAAAAAAAGAAAAAACTCAGAAAGGGAGGATAAAAAGTGCACATTAAGCCTGGCATCGTAGGTGCATTACGTGACGCGGTATTAATCCTGGCGGCCTCGAAGAGGGTCGAGGTGGCGTTCGCACTTGCCGTGTTTTTCGGTTCGACGACATAACTCACGTCGTTGCTCTTTTTGGAATTCTCCGGCTGGCCACCCTACAACCGCGACGAATGCAACCGAGAGAGACGCGAGGAGGAAGAAGGAAGACGCGGGACGTGGCCAGG